TTTATTTCTTTATTTGAGAGAGAGGAAGAAAGCACAAGTTAGGGGTGGGGCAGAGGGAAAGGGAGAAGCAGGCTCCCCGCGGAGCAGGGAGCCCGATGCGGGGCTCGATCCCACGACCCTGGGATCATGACTTGAGCCGAAGGCAGACGCTCAACCGACTGAGCCACCCAGGCGCCCCTACATAGTTTCCTAAAACTAAACAAGCAAATGGGCGTCCCCTCACCACAGCTGGGAGTACACACATTGTGCTTGGTGCCCGCGGTTGTTCAGGAACCAGGTGAACGGTGTCCTGTCAGGGCAAGAGGACTACATTCCAGCTTTATTCCTTCTTTGCATAACGGCTGTTGTCAAGCTATTTGCATTGCTTCTCCCTAGAAGTGACGGAACAGATCACCCAGGTGTGCTCAGGAAGTAATGACACAAAAGAACATTCATGAGCCACAAACTGCTTCCCCTTTGCACTTTTGACTTAAGAAATCTGACAGAAGCATGTCTCTGTCGAAGCAGATTTTTGTGGCTCATGAATTTTTACAACTAAGAATATGGAGGCAGGACTCTAAATCATAAGGAGGAAGCGTAGCGCCTATCAAAAGCGAAGAAAGCAAGCTTGGAATTGGGTTTCTTTCCTCTGGGAAAGAAAATGTTCTTTTGTGTCATTACTTCCCTGTCAGCATTTTTTCTGCCAAGTGAAGCCAGTGTCCAGGTGATTTCAGTAAGTAAAGAGCGAGGCAAGCAACAAAGGCTACAGCCAGGAAAGGCTGAAAGGTCTTCCTCCTTCCTCATGTTTACCGATGGATCGTAAGGCATTTCAAGTGTAGAATACTTTCCGACTTGTGACATCTAGCCTCTGAGGCATTTTTAAACAATAACGAACTATCAGAGGTCCAAAGTGAACTCTCACTGGGCTGTGTTCTCTGCATATCACCTATCCTTCCCTCAGCTAGGTGGCTCCTGAGATCCTTGAGCCTACCCCCGCCCCCCAAAAAAGAGGGCCCACCTTTCCTGAGTCCATAGATTAAACTGTGTAAAAATGTGTTTGGGTCTGCTTGTATCTTAAGTGCTCTCTTGACTGAGGCACTCGGACTGGGGGTTGGACCAGGCCGGATCATCTGATCTGCTGCCTGCCCCTGCCCAATTCCACAGCCCCAAAAACAGGATCACAGGAATGATTCCTCTGCAAAGCAGAGATCCTTTATTTACCCTTTTGAAGAGGAAATTAAGCTGAAATTTCTTTATGACCCTCTCCTCCCAAATTTTGCTGACATATATTTTCGTATTCTTTCTTTTCATCTCTCTGAGGTGTTCCTTCTCTCTGCTTCCAAGGCATCCTCTTAGAGTAGTTTTCAAAGTCTGGGCCAGGGAGCCCTGAACGGGGTGGCGGGGTGTGTGTGTGTGTGTGTGGCAGGCGGGGGTAACCAAGATTTTTCAGGGGGTCTTTCTGTTCAAAGCTCTTTTCATAATACTAAGATGGTATTTGTCTTTGTCTCAGTTCCTCACAAGTGTTCAGGGGACTTTTCCAGAGGCCGCATTATATGTGCTATCCTATAAGACCGAATGTGGAGACAAATAGAGGAATCCAATTATCCACTATTGAATCAGACCTTAAAATGATTTGCAAACATGACACTCGACTCACTATTTTTTTGTTTCACATAATATAGTTATTTTTCCATAAGACATGTTATTTATGTAAATATGTAGAGAATTTATTATCATTGTTAAATGAATAAGTATTTTTAGAAGTTTCAGCTTTAATTTCTACTATGGTAAATATCAATAGACGTAGCCCATATAAATAAAAGCTCTTTGGGGTTCTCAATTTAAAAAGCCCTATTGTATGTATTTAGAAGTTACAGATCATGATAAAATTAACTGCTATGCTTCCACCATCCAGCCTAATTTAGAAAACATAGAACCCCTACCCACTCCTACCTGGATCCCAGATCTCTCTACCTACCCCAACCCCTAGTGGTAACCATTCTCTGGAAGTTTTTTTGTCATTCCCTGTTTTTCTTTATAATTTTGCTGCATACTGTGAATCCCCAAATAATATGTTGTTTAGTTTTGTTTTTTTACTTTTTAAAAAATAGTCTTGTAATATTTGTATTCTATTGTAACTTTTTTTTCATTCTACTGATTCAACCATATTGATTCCTCTAGCTGTATTCATTTTTACTTTTGTATTCCATTGTACAAATATATCATGAATTTACTTATCCATTGTCCTGCTAGTAGACATTTGGGCCATTTTCAGTTGTTTTCTGTTAAAACAATGCTATATTGAACATTTATATATAATGGCCCTCATATGCAAAGGTTACTCTGGGCATATACTTACGAGGGGAATTATATACTCAGCCTAAAAAAGAAACTGTTTTCCAAAGTGGTTGATCCCAGTGTGTTCCTGCCAGCAGTATGTAAGTGTTCCTTCCCATAAGGCACATCCTTGCTGACATGCATCCTCTTCAGACTTTTTAATCATTGCCAAACTAGTGGGTATAAAATGATGTCTTCTTGTGGTTTTAATGTTTATTGCACTGATTACTCATGTTTTTCTTCTAAGAAATACCTGTTCATATCTTTTGTCCATTTGAAAAATGAGGGTTTTTTTTTCTTTTCCTTGAAGATATGTAGGAGTTCTGTGTCAGATTCCTTTTCATTTACACGTATTGCTTATATATATCTTCCAGTTTGAAGCTTATATTTTCTCTTTTGTTAGTATTTTCTGATAAATGGAAATTCTCAATTTTAATGAAACAAATTAATCTTTTCCTTTAAGGTTATGATTTTTTATTTCGTTTTGGTAATTTGTTTGTGAGATCTTCCCTTCGCCTGAGGTCAAAACAAACCAGATTCTCAGGTTCTACTCCAGAACGGCTGGATCAGAAACTCTGGGTGAGGGGCCCAGCAATATGTGCTCACAGGCCCTCCTGGGAGTTCAGAAGTATGCTGTTTGAGGCCAATTAAAAGCTTGTCTTCTTTAATCTGTTAATATAGTCAATTGTATCAGTAGATTTTTCTAATATTAAACTTGGGTGAATTAAAAACTACTACCTGTAAGATGGTAAAGCTAAGATAGTAAAAAGGAAATAAAGAATGATTATTAAAAATTACAAATTTTTAAAAATTATTATAAATTTGGGGCGCCTGGGTGGCTCAGTTGTTAAGCGTCTGCCTTCGGCTCAGGTCATGATCACAGGGTCCTGGGATCGAGCCCCGCATTGGGTTCTCTGCTCTGCGGGAAGCCTGCTTCTCCCTCTTCCACTCCCCCTGCTTGTGTTCCCTCTCTCGCTGTGTCTCTCTCTGTCAAATAAATAAAATCTTTAAAAAAAAAAAATTATTATAAATTTGTATCATTTGGAACGCTTTTAGTCAAAGTTAAGCATTCTGCAATTTTTTTCCTTTCCTCTTAAAAGTAATTTTCTTTTGCCAAAAAATTGTTTTTTTAATGGTGAAAGTAACATTTAAGGAGAGTTAAATCGCCTGGGGTCCTGTAAGCCAATTTCTGGTACCCTACCTGCTTCGATCATTGAGCCCTACAGGATTACAAGAAGCACACATGATAAATCCTGAAAGAAATAAAAGAAAACAGAATCTTAGGAATGAAGAGTCAGGAGAACAGAAATATGGAAGATACGTATTTCCATGGGCAAGTCACAGAAAAGTTGTGGTGACTTTACTTACAGAAGCGTAGATGTGCTAAATCCTTGATGGCCACTTACCTGAGCCCCCTTTTCATGGAGAAAGTACAACCTGTACGTCAGAATGCTTGCCCTTTGATACTAATACAATCACTAAATGTCACTGAAGGAGAATTAGCAACATTCTGAACCACCAAGGGGGACTCTCTGTACCATTTCTCATACATTCAGGCATTTGTGGCCTTAAGCGGACGATAAAATATGCGCACCAGCCTATCGAATGCATTTTTTAACTTCCATTCATTACCATGTCCCAGAAGCTGATTCTCAATGTGTTTTAGGGTCTCAGACCCCTTCTGCCTTCATTTTTCTGGTGTCCCCCATTAGTCCTTTGACCTCAGTCAGGAAAGATGAACAGTGATGTATTTCTCCCTGTTCTCCTCTCTACTTGTTTTGTTTGGGTGGTAGGTCCAAAGTAGTTACCTGAAAAAACACCCCTTTAAATTCAGTAGCTCAGTTGTCTTCTTCATTTTCTTGAGAAGACAATACTTAATGGGGAGGGGCTGTGGGGCAACAAAACAAACTGAAAGTGTCACCAGACTTCATTTCCATAGGAATCTTGCTCTCCTCTGCAGAGAAGCATCCTGCTATGGATTTAATTGTCAAGGAAATGGAGATAACCTCTCTGCAGAATTCATTGTTTCCTCATAAAACAAAATTGTCAACTTCTTGGCATATACTGTTTTAGGTTGAACTGACTAAACGTGTCCTATTGTATCTGGTTTTAGTGACTTGAAAATCTTTTATTTCCTCTTCTACTTGGCAATCTTCAGGAAATAGGTAAAAACAAACAAGAAGGTACCAGAATGTTTACTGTAGCTTTGTTAATGATTGGAAAAAACTAGAAAGAGGAACATCCATAGAGATAGAACTGAGTAAATTACTAGAACAGTAGCCATTAAAAAGAATAAACCAGATGCACATGTTTTGACATGAAAAGATCTCCAAGATATACTATTAAGGGAAAAAAGCAAGATGCAGAACAAGTACGTATAGTAAGATGCCATTTATACTTTAAAAAGTCTCTCTTCTCACACACACACACACACACACACACACACACACACACACACACATGCTTGTATAGGCATAGAGATTTTCTGGAAGGATACTTGAGAAAGTGGTAATAGGTGTTGCCTTTGAGTAGTGGAACTGGAGCGGGGAAACGTACTTTTCATCTTATGCCCTTGGTTCTCTAGGAAGGTTTTCCCTTTTGCACATAATTGCTTTTATAATAATAATTTTAATGTTAGTTAAAACTTAAAATTAAATGATAACCTTTGTACTGTTGATGTTCAGCTACTCCTAGGGGTTTTCATCTTTCTGCTTCCTTGGGCTCCACTTTCCCTCCGAGCACTTGTCATGCCCGTGCATGTCTATTCTGGGCTCCTCATCTTTGGAACGGTGATTGCAGCGGTACTTACGGGAGTGACTGAGAAACTGTTCTTTGCCCTGTAAGTTGCGTAGTTTTCCTAATTATAATATTTGAGCTATAAAATGTTAAATACTTATTCATTGGAAAAATGTAATTTAAAGTAATAAAATTTTTAATATTAAAAATGTATTACATTACAAATGTAATATAGCATTAATAATGTTTGGAAGAAGGACCACAAAGTCCAAAAAATTGTATCACTCTTACAAAACAACTATTGGAGTTACCCATGCCCTTTTAATCTTTTTGATGTGCATGTTTTTATATTAATTGTGATTATGGTGTACATACATTTTTGTATCACCCCTTTTCCAATTTTTAAGTGCTACAGGTGTTCCAGGTGCTATATTATTTTCATACTTATCATTTTTAACAATTTCATACTATTTCAATTGGGTTATTTTGGCATAATTTAAATTTCTCCTTAATGTCAAACTTTAAGGGAATTTATATAGAAGGTGTACCAGCGTGCATTTTTAAGCAGATAAATTCAACACTGTTTGACATGTGGCTTTATCGCCCTATTTGTAATTGGACACACTCTCTCTTTTTTGTAGGAATAGTTCTGGATACGGTACATTCCCACCAGAAGGTGTTTTCACAAATACCCTTGGCCTCCTGATTGTGGTGTATGGGGCGCTCATTTTTTGGATAGTCACCAGACCACAATGGCAACGTCCTAAAGAACCAAATTCTGTCCTGCTTCAGCCAAATGGAGGCACTCGAGAGGGAGCGGAAGGCTTAGCAGTCAACTTCAGCAATGTGGACACGTCAGATTCAAAATTAAACAGTGAAACAACAGCGAAGAAAAGAAACTTGACCGTTGATGAGGCTGGACAGAGATCCACCATGTAGAATGTTGTAGAGATGTGGCCATATAGCTTCACTTTTAAAAACCAGCTCTACAGTTTAGCTTCTCCTATTTAGCCCCAGGATGACTGAGCTCCGCAGAGTCAATATTTCTTTTAATCATAAAGTAGGATTCCTTGGAAGAGTTTGTATTGATTGAGGCCTATGATCTTACCTGAATTGGAAAGGAGATGATCTGTGTAAATACTAGAAGATATAAATGGTGGTTATGTTAACCTTTTTTTTGTTGAGGACCAAAACATTTAGCACAGTGCCTTGCATAGAACAGATAATCAAAATGTGTCTCTCAAAACAAAACAAAACAAAACAAAAAAACACTAAAAAAAACCCCCAAAACCCAAAAATGTGTCTCTCAGTTGGTAAATTTCATCAATTGGCAGCATCTCTGGCCTCTTGTCATGCAGTCATTTCCTGTTAATTCCGGGAATCCAGTCCTAATGTTTTAGAATCAGATCTGGGGCAGCGTTTATGCTACACAGATAACAAGTAGAGTACAGGAAAAATTTAGGAAAGTGACTGACTGGTTCCCTTCTCCCAGTGCCTGCCCTCTGCTCTCTCACCAACTAGTTTGGGCTCAGATTGGCCCTGGAGACGGGAGTTTATAATTAGAGCATTTTGGAGCAGTGACTGAGCCAAAAGTAGCTAACGAGATCTTCTCTTGTCAGACCTGGAAGTTTTTCCAAATCTCATCTTCGTCCCAAAGCTTCCTTGGGGCTTGGTGTACTTTCTAAGCCAGATTCCAAAACCTAATTAGAATGGACCATGCCTGAAAGCTTACGTAGCATAAACTGCTCTCCACACCTCAAAGAGCACTTTTCCCCAAGTTTCTGTTTTTATTTTAGAAAGTACTTACATGGCACTTACTACATGCCAGACACTGTTCTAAGCACTTTATAAATATTAACTCGTTCAATCCGCAAACTTTACACGGTAGGTACTATTATTATCTCCATTTGACAGCTGGGAGATTTGAAGCTTAGAAATGTTAGTTAACTTCCCCCAAGGTCATACAGCTCATCAGTGATAGAACTGAGATTTGTCACGTGGCTGTCTGATTCCTCAGTCCATGACCCTAACCACTTTACTCTGCTACATTTTCTATTATATACTGGTTTGTACCTACTCTGACTCACCCCTGGATAAATCCCAGTTGCTGGAGTGCAGTGGAGTTGTTAAAGTTTACCTTCTGGCTCTCTCTTCCAAGGCAGATTCCTCAAATAACCAAGGAAAGAGGCCCACCCATACCTGGAAATAGATCATGGCGCCCCACCACTGCCAACAAGCCATGGCCCACCTTGATGCCCCTTTGATCTTAAAATTGTGTCTTGGTGACAAAGAAAAGTTTGGGCAAAAACATCTGTAACTTTCAAGATTAATCAATTATAATTTTTGTTCTTCAGCATCTTAGCTGCTGAATAGCTTTGGGTTTGGAGATAGGAGAGATTCACCTTGTGGTCTGCCCTTCCCAGTGGCAATAGCCAAGATCCTTCCTGATGTTGGTGGAGTTTTAGGGGACATCTGGAGCTTTGGGTTCTCAGTATGAATTGAGACTCAGAGGTGACCTCTTTCGTGCATGGACACTTCTGTCTAGACTTGGGGCTGACTTAAATTAAAACCTAGAGTAGTGGGGCTCCTGGGTGGCTCAGTCGGCTGAGCATCTGACTCTTGGTTTCTGCTCAGGTCATGATCTCATGGATGGTGGGATGGAGCTCCGCCTTGGGTTCCGTGCTCAGCGGGGAGTGTCCTTGAAGATTCTCTCCCTCTGTTCCTTCTCCCACTCATGTGCATGCACATGTGCTCTCTCTCTCTCTAAAATAAATAAATCTAAAAAAAAAAAAAAA